AAACAGTCTTAAATGAAAAAAATACTAATAAATGAATATTCACGTTTCAGCCTGCTTCCTGAAAAGGGGTGACGTTTGGGAGCCTGAAGAACAGATAGACCTTGAGTCATTTAATACAAATGTTTTCTTTGAACTTTTGCTGAGACAATCACTATCTGTCACAACCAAACTGGGCCATTTCAAAGAAGAGGTAAATTGTGGTTTGGGGCTACTCATTTATGTAGAAAGACCCTAAAACATGTAACTTTGTTACCATTGTTTCATTAGCCTTTGCTTATTAGATACATGCTTTATTTCAACTTTCATCTTTTTACAATGTGAAACAGAAATATATATCCATATTCGTAGGCATGTTGTTTATACCATGTAATTTAGTGGGAAGAAGCAGAACATTTTCATTTTCTCATGGTTCTGTACTGAATTTATACCATTTTTGGAAAATGACTTCATCTTCCAGCTACAATTTTTCATCTGTAAAATGAAGATAATACAAATTTCCTAGTCAAACACTCAAGAGCTGTGGATTAAACTGAGGAGAAATATAAATGAATAAATGAATACAAAGGAACACAGAGATAGAGCCTCATTTGGTTATTTGAACTTTATAATAAACTCTCAGCTGAAATCAATGGGATAGCATTTCACAGTCCTAATGATGAATCTACCTGTAACACTCATCTAACTTTATTTGTGGTTTAAAGGACGGTAGAGGGAGCTGGCATTACAGCATGCAGTTAACAGGTGGGTGGTGTGGAGAAATCATAGTACCCTATTCTGAGACAAGCTAACGTTAATGTGTTTTGTACTAAAAATTTAGACACGAGTGTCTGTTTTAATTACACAAAGAGGTAATGATTTTGAAGAGAGACTTCACCGTCTCCCAATGTATTTTTTTTTTTTTTCCCCCCCCAGGTAAAAACTATATACCACAAGCTTACAAGTGAAATATCTTCACTGAAAAACCTTTGGATAAACACACTGAGTATCCCAGAAGAGATGGAGGGTTATGAGAGCACAATGACAGAGGCTTACTTAAAAGCAAAACAGCAGGTAAAGCTCAGTTTAGCAACGTTTTACACATGGAATAGCAAATTAAATTCTCAGTACTCTCTTTTCATAATTTTAGGCATGGTCATATAAAACCTCACTTCTGGAACTGTAGACATTTCATAAGATGCAAAACAACATTGTAATGTCTGTGAACAACAGTCTACACTGGGCCTTTAAGGCTGCTGCTACTGCTTTGTGCTAACACAGAAACATATCTCTGAAAGATTACTATCTTTTTTTTCTTTTCTTGGTCTGATACATCTATGCATCCCATCTCTTCTTCTGGGAGCTCTTGTGTTTCTGCTTCAGTAGCAGAAGTTTCAGCTTTGAAAACAACATAAATTCATCTGCATGTGTTGCAACTTCTTTCTCCACATCAGAACTGTACTTGTTTACATTGTTACAAAAGTTCTAAGAATAAAACAATTTCATGTCTTGAATACAGAAATATACTCATTGTCTCACTTGGAAAAACATGTATGCTCCACAGTAAGGAGTTGCAAAAGCTAATTCTTTCCTAAGGACTAGTCACATGACTTGTTAGAAGGATTCCCTAAGTTATTATCTTAGTCAGATCTGGACGTACGCTGATTGCTTATATGCTAGATAATTGTCATTCAGCATATTAGAGTTGTCAGCATATGTATGCTCAAATTCAAATGAACACATCAACGTTATTTGAAATTTCTAATCTTTGCCATTTCGATAACGGGCAGAAAAGTGGAGATCTTTCTTTACATTTGGATTAAAAACAAGAGCTGTTTGGATCTCTTATTCCACCTAGGCAGAAGAAGAAATACAACAAAGGAAACAGTTGGCTGCCGAATATGAGGAAAGTGTGAACAAACAGATGCACTTATTACAGCATGATCTGAAATGTCAGGAAGAGCATTGTGTCATGTTCAATTCTGCCTTGCGAGAGGCAATGAGATTGGCAGAGATGCTGACAAATAAGGTGGCTTGTAAAGGAAATCAAACAATGCTGTCTCAGCCAGAGTATGCAAGGTAATAAACGTACAGCAAAATTCTGCTGCAACTTCCTTTTTGCTAGCTAGAAAGCACTTATGGCAAGCAATTATGTAGGCTTGTGGCTGGCAATACATATATCTGGAAGCTGGAAACTGATCCTTGGTCCAGAAGATCAGATGATGCAGATCATAATTTTCATGTTTCTGTAACACAAGCCTAGAAAATCTCAGAGACATAAACTCTGAAGAGACTCCCGTCATAACTTCAGGAATAACAATATTTTGAAGGTCCTTTCTTGTGCTACTAACTGATTTGGCTCCAGGATACCACACCACTTCCAGTCAGTGTGCTATCCATGCTCTAACAGGTCTTCTCACTATCAGAATCAGAATGGTGTAATTAACAAGAGAACAGAGAAACAGAAACAGGGAAGTGGTCTTTTTTACTGCATTAGCCAAATCGAATACACATCAAGCTCTCTAATTGAGTGCAAATACCATTTGCATGTCCATCAAAATTCTTCATTTACTGCTCCCTTTAAATTGTTTTACTTTATCTTCAGATGGCAAGTAACCATCTTTATCTCTTGAATTCCAGCCTGTTAGCCCAGATAGAGGCTGCAAGCAGCAAGATGTCAAGCATAATAATGAAGGAGAGTCACCGCCTCAAGGCATGGGGAGTGCTGGGTGAAGGAATGGGAGCTCACCTCCTTAACAAGGCTAAAACCAGGATACTTACCAAGCAGGAGCTAGTGGGTAACTACCACCCCTAGAAATTAGTTTGAAAATTATACTACTGTATAATGAAGTGTAGGCAGGCTTGTGTAGCATAGGTCACAAAAAATAGCTAGGTCACAAAAGAACTAATAGCAAAGTCAAAAGAGAGTGTATTTAGAAAAGGATATCCTCACTGAGGTCCTGCTAACAACTTGTGAATTAAGGGCTTGTTACAAAAGCAAAGTAATCAGAAGAACTCTTCTACACTGTTTCTTAGGAATAATCTCAGATTTGCATTCATTGGGATCTTTGACTGGGTACTTGCTAATTGACCCCTAGCAACAGAGAGGGAAATGAACTATTCTGTAGGCAAGCCTCAATGAGTTCAATTAATTTGCTCCCATGTGTTTGTCTGTTTTCTAATATTGCTGCATGTGTTTTTGTATGACAAAATGTAAAAGGTACCCTGACACTAAGACACCTCTTTCTTTCACCCTTCTAAAAGGGATAGAACTAAGAAAAGGATAATGAAACTGACCTTGGATGATTGAATGAACTTTGCAGACTGAAGCAATGAATTCTAAAATCCTGAAAGGCCATTCATGAAACATCAGTCTCCTCACTGTTATGAAACTCATGCAGACATGGTAGAGAGAGAATTGAATTATTATATACTATAGACCCTTCACCACAGACATCTGTAAAAGGCAGTAGAAAGATCAGTTTCTTTATTCTCACCCCATCTCTGCCCCTGCATATATTTTCTGATAAACTTGCAACACAACCCGCATCCTTCTGCAAGGCCTACAAGCTGTTTCTTCTCTCCCTCTCCCCATCTACTGTAAACTGCTTTTAGACTCAAATGGCACTGCTGGAGCACCCGATGTTCTCTTTGTGGATCCTGTCACTGGATTGTTAACTCCCTACCCACACTGCACCATGCTGCTGACCGGTCAGTGCCCTGGGCCGGTACCTATCAATCATTTTCTGCATCCTGAGACTGGAAAGGTACTTCACATAGCTGGTAACATCGGTTATGATCCCATCAGTTCGAGGCTGGTCTGTGCTGTTGATTCCGCTTCAGGTAAGTGCCACAGTGCAATAACCATTCGATCCAACTGCCTGTTTGTGGAGTACAGTTATAGTGGGAGTACTGATTAAAACGAAAAACAAACAATAAACAAACAAACAAACAAAAAACACCAACTTGCTACTCACATGTACTTTCCCCATTACAAAACATAAAGAAAATCTGAGAAACCTTCTCATTAGCATGGCACTAGAAGACAGAGTTGTTCATCGTGATATAAGACTTACTGTGGATAAGATGTATTAGATGGTACAAGGCCTGTATCAAGGAAGTGTTGAGGTATTAGTTTCTGAGATTTCAGCCCATCTGTTCATTAAACTATAAAAACCATGATATGCTGAGAAACTTGCAACTTTGAAGAAATGGCCAAAGCAATAATTAAATTTTAAAAAACCCCGTACAATTATCAGAAGGAGATTACATTCATCCATTTAGTTCTGGACCTAAAGACCACAAACCTTTACTATCAGCAACCTCTGAAAACTCCATAGTCTCCAGTCTGAGTTCTAATGCTTCCGTGTCATTAGCATCAGTTTGCATAACCATGTTAAATTTCTTCTGGTTTTACACGTAGGTAAACGTCATAAGCCCGAAGTGCCAATATTTCCCTACATTCCTTACCCAGTTTGTCCCAACACTGGCCTACCTGTGAAGACAAAACTTCCAGTCCTGTGTCCTGAAAAAATGTTTGGTATGGGAGGACTCATGCTAGATCCTGTGACAGAAATAGAAGTTCCAGTGCTTGGGGTTACAATCCATCCTCACACTGGGCAAAAGCTGACCGTTGGTGGGACATACCTTAACCCCCTTACTGGCATGTTGACACCTCTGGAGATTGGGGGCCCTATGACTGATCCAGAGGGAGGCAAGATCGTTCCAATACTCGGAGTCGGTTTGGATAATAACACTGGTAGGTGAATGCTCTTCATGACTGAGTAGGTGTGGTATGCACTGTTCATTTAACCTGCCCCTGATTGATTCGAGGCACTGACCAGAATGAGCCTAAAAATGCTTTATGTTTACCTCATGGTTTTGCCTTCTCCTGTTGAGGCAACTATGGAACCGTTGTGCAAGTTAGCTTTTACAGACAGTACACTTTCTCTTTTCTATATTTTTATTTTACAATTTATCACTTTAAAGGTAAATAAAACTATCTAGTGAAACTGTACGTGACATCTGAGATCATAATTCGTTAACTATGACACAAACTACTGAAGTTGATTCAATTCTTAAAGATGGTCCAATTACTCTATTAAAATATTAAAAGTAGCAAGAAATGCATTATTTAGAGGCTTGGAGGGCTGAAGGTCTAGATTTTTTAAAAGCATTTTCACACACCTATATTCTTTGTGACTCATGTTAGAAGATACACTAGATGCAAAAAAAGGAGTAGGGACCTTAATCTTCTTCTACAGTAGAAATTACAAGACTTATTTAAGAACATTTTATGAGCCACATTATTTTATAAACAGCCTTAAACTTCTCCCCCCGCCCCTTCATGTGTCCCATTAGACCTATTTCTGCTTCCACTGACGTAAATGATCATCATGCCTTTTTCTGAATGGGAAGGACTGGACCACAATGACAAGTTGCCAGGTGACATTCTGAATCTCATTTCCTGTTCCTTGACTGCAGGAGAAGTTATACCTCTAGGTGGGCTGGTGGGTCCTTCTGGAAACATAATGCTTCTCGGAGATTCCTTCACTGAACCTCTGAGTGGGAAAATCACCCGGGTACATGGAGCTCACCTCCGGGAAGACAAGGTGCTGCCCCACAGTGGAAGTTACCAAGCGGTGTTGGAAGCTGAGTGGCTGGTGTCACAGACCCATGTGGTGAATGCTCTAAAGCAGTTCAAGGCATCCATTTTGGAAGATACTTGTCTAGTAGCAGAGAGATTAGCAGCACTAAAGGCTTCAGTAGAAGACATGAAGAAGTCTTTCACCACTAGGTTTTATCATGCAATTCATTGCTTGCAAAGCCTGGAGAAAAAACAGGAAATAGCTTCAAGTGTCAAGAGTAACGGTGGTAAACTGGGTAAGTATAAAACAACCAGTCTGTTTTAAGGAGTAAACAGGTGTCATTACACTGAAGGCTACAGCAATGCACCTATTTCCATCACAGGATTTGGCCAAGACATGAACGTTTCAAACTTCTAGGAAGTTTTTTTGTCAAAAGAGCCACTCTAGCAAATCTTGTGATGAACTTAGCCAGGTACTATTTGGAAGCTGTTGGAGAAATAACAGCATTATAAGCCTCTGAAACTGAAAGCAGTTATTTTAATCACAAAACTATTTAATGGCTTATGTTTCTCATCTTTTTTGAACAAACTAGGTATGATCAAATACCCTGGCACAGAGATGTGGATGCCTGCAGTGTTTGGAATGAAAATCCCAGATCCTGGTGGGTCCAGTTTGATGGTGCCAATTCTGGGAATAGGCTGTGACTGGAATACTAGGCAGCCTTCCCCACTCGCAGGAACCATGGAAGATAGAAATGGAAAAGGTAGAGCAGGAAATTGAGTTGGATGATTTAAACAATAAAGAGATATGGACCTGTTATTTTCAGAGTGAGGAAATTACCCTAACAAAACAGATCATTTTCTACCTCAACGTGGAATGGAAAATAACAATTTTCATGGTGTGTACATTCAAAACAAGCAACACCAGAATAATGGTGAAAGAGAGCTAGGACTGAGACCAAATCACACTGTGGCTTTCAGCCCCTTCAAAATCTACTGTACTCTTTAGGACAACTATTCTGATGTTATTCTCAGTGATGGGGACATAAATAGGTGCTCTCTGAAGGTGAAGGTCTACAGTGCCTTGGTCTGACACTCAGTACATGGTATTTCTAACTCAGCAAAATTCAGTTTGTTTTTCATTAGGTGATTTAAAATCAGTGTTAGTTCCTTTTGAACTCTAATAAAAGCTGCTCTCTAGGGCTGCAGCTGGAATTGATGATCTAAATTCTAAGCATTATACTTAGTTGTTCTTTATCTACAGGCCTTGTCCCCATCACCATTGGTGCCAGGACCGTAAGTCCAATGACAGGTGAAATTGGGCCTGTTATAGGTGCTCAAACCAACCCGTGGACACACAGTGTAATTCCTATTGTTCAGACTCTTGGAGCTTTACCAAGAAGAGCTACAGATCCAGATCTGGTAATTATAACTCCAGCAAACTTTCTACTTACAGGTTTGATATCTGTGGGAAATTCTTTGCTGATGCTTTTCTACTACTGAGAGGAAATGTCACTTCTTTCTATGCCCCACAAGTAATATTTTCTTATACTGCAAGATGAACTGCAATGCATGTATGTCATTTTACTTACCTATCCTCTTTTAATTATCTGCTTTTTCTTTCCCTTCTATCTGTATCTACTGCTGATCTTTGTACCTTCTGTTTCATATCCTTCTCCTACCCCAAAATACACATTGCATTTGGACATGAATTACAGCATGCACAGACGTAGGACTACAATGCATTCATCTCCTGTGGCAGCAAAGTTGGATATCAGCTATCAAAAGCATGGAGATTTCATCACTATCTTCAATGACCTTTATAATCTTCCTTCAGTTTCCTGCAAATCTGAGCTATTATGTCTGTCATTGCTTTACAGCTGGACTTCCTAGAAAAGGAAATACATTCAAGGCATGTATACTGGCATTGCAGAAGAGAAAAGGAAGAAGGGCTTCTTAAAAAGCTGAACTCTCTATTTCTTCATGTCCTTGATGCTGCAAAAGAGGGAAAGGCACAGAAGGTATGGTGGATTCTTTCCGCAGGTGGCTTCAAGAAAGTTCTTTAAAAATTCCTCATGGAAATCTCTTTCACATGTATCAAAATCAAATATCACTGATGCTGCACCCAGGATGGTGGTGTTCTGAATCCAAGTCACTTCCCTCCCCAGAACGGTACAAACCACAAATGTAAACAGTAACGCTGTTAATTCAGTGCAACTCTTCCCAGCATAAGGGAATGGTGTCAGGTGTCCTAGCAGAATAACCAACAGTTCAAATTCAGCATGTGTCTATACACAGCAAGGACAACACAATTCATAGTGGTAACATAAACAGGGGATCTGCAGTCAGTTTCTACACAATCGGAATAATTAAAAGGCTAGGAAAAAGCAATAAACCAAATTGGGCAAGCTCTTGCTGTCATCTGTCAAAGAATATTGCAACAGGTCAGTATCTTACAAGTTTGCAACATTATCTAAAACTCCCTCCACTCTTCCATTTCTTACAGATAAAATACAAGGAAAAAGTGAAAGACATTGAGGAAATGTGTCATTTTCTCAGAGGGTCCTCTCTGCAGGAAGCTGAAAGACGAACCTCAAAATGTTTTAGTAGCCAGCTGGCCACCGAACTATCCTTGCTATTCAAAGGTACAAAAGGGTAGCTACAACCAGAAGACAGGTAGTCAGTGTTGTACATAATTTTCTTTGATGTTTGCTCCCTTTGACAGGATAGCTTAAGCCTTACAAATACAAACTACTTATGTTCTCCTGAAGCAAGACAATATAGAGGTAGGATCTGAAAATTTGGGCTGTTCTAAAAGATATGGACTGTAGATGTGGTGAAGCACACTGAGAAGGCATATTACTTCAGATTTGCTCTGTCAATTTCCAGTAGATTATCAAATAGGTGATACTGCTAATATTTGCTCTTTATAGCTGACAGAGATGAAAAAGAACAGGAAATGCAGGTTCTGTTGGAGATTGGAAGGGCACTGGAGAAGCTGATGGAGTTCATTGAAAAGATGCAACTAGAAGAAGAACGAACAAGCATGCAGCTGAGAGAGAGAGAAAAGCAAAGGAGCCACATCTCAAGCACTGAGACAGTAACAAACCTGACACTCAGCAAGGTGAGGTCACTGCTTGGTTGGACTGAACATCCCCAGTCTCAGTGCACAGAACACACTGGTCTACCTTTGAGAGGCACTGTAGAATTAAAGCTCTGAAGCCACTATACTGTGATATTTCCAGTTCTAGGAACTGATTTCCCATCTGGCCTTCTCTCAATCTCAATCAGGAAAAAAAAGAAATAAAAGGGAAAAAAAAAGTAGAAAGACAGACACCACCACCACCAATGAAAAGAAATGGTGAAAACCCGAGACATCCTAGACACCTATCATTCAGATATTTAATGACAGACTTTTGGCAACAACTTTCATTGAACTGTGTAATTGAAGCTGGATTTAATTAAGGAAAGAAATCCAATGGAATTGGAGAACTGCAGTGGCTCAACTAGGAGTGGACACATGCTGGAGTTTGGAGCTAGAGAGAAGACCTGACAAAAAAGCTATGCTTTCCTTTATTTTCCTGTGTGGAGATGGTTCTCCTTACGTCAGGAGCTGAGCAATCATAAATGACAGAATATATGTAACCTACCATATAAAATCAGAGCCCTTAAAGCTGGAACAGGTCTAGACGATCGGGAAGTACCACTCTGCCAAAAAGCAGTGCACATTCCCTGTAGGGCTAGGTCCAGGTACGATCCAGATAGGGTATTTGCATAGCTGAATTTCTTTTCCTACACTCTTCCTTCTTGCCAGGAATGCTAAGAAATGTCTAAAGACTTATAAGACTCCCACACAGGTAAATCCATTTTCAGTCCTTGAAAACATCATCAGTGCTTCTCCAAATGTTACCTACTACTAGAGAGAATGCGTCTATTTCTGTCCAGGCAATACCAGCTGAACTAAACACAAACCTTTTTACTCAGTGAACAGATGTCAAATAGACTTTATTGAAATATATTGCCAGGAAGCTTTTTTTGGCCCTTCTTTGCATCATCTACAGTTTCCATGACTGCTTTTTAAGGGCTACCCAGACACCTGCACTCTAGAGTGCTGTAGTTGTTACAGTTACACCAGCTTTGTAGCTAGTGATTTGTCAGATTATGCGTAAAAAAGCAAACGAAAGCTAAATTTTGCAATTCACTTGAAGCAGGCTTATATTCTGTATAATTTCTTCCAGGTCATACTTGCCCTAGCCTCTGAGTCTCAGGAATGTATGCTGAAACAACAAGCTAGTGTGGAGACTGCATACACCAAACTGGAATATTTGAGGGACTTGTCAGACATCCAAACACAGAAGACGAAGGTACTGACTTCACCTTAAGGCAAACAAAAAGCAACAATGTTACTTACTTTCTAAGAACAGCATGAGCAGTTGCCATGTTCTGAGAATGTCCATCCAAGAACATTACTGCAAGAAATCAGAGCCCTGTAAAAGAACAAAAATCTTCAATGAGAATGACAAAAGTTGATTTATAAAGTATATATCAATGACTTTGACACTTGGAAATTCAATTGAATTTCACTTTGAAAGGCTGTTCTTCAACAGCAGAGTTAGAAAAAAGTTAGAATAGAATAGCATAGCATACTTCACTTGGAAGGGACCTACAATGGTCATCTGGTCCAACTGTCAAGTTGTCAGTTTATCTATTTGCAGAGAGATTTTAAAGAGATGGACACCTGAAGTTTTATACTTCCTAGGGAAGAAGCAAGGTATTAGACATTCCACAATTCCTGTGAAAATTTTTTTTCCGGTTGCAAAATTACTTTCAAAAATGCTTGAGTACAGAGGATCACAAGTCCTCCTCTCTTAAAGGGACCCTTCAAATCCCATAACCTATAATGTCTCAACAACTGTAGACCCAAACCTTTTTAACAAGAGCCAGTGAATCTTTCCATTAATTCAGTGATCTCAGGAGCTGATGCTTAATCTTTGCATTAACTTGTTTACACGTTCCATTTTGGATCGCTTACAATGAAAACATTAAAATTAATTCCCTAATCCTCTTTCCCTTTCTTCAAAGTCCTTCCTTTAAAGCTCCCTGGGAGGTCTCTCTCCTCCTCTTCTGCTCTTCCATTCCCATGACACCATCACTACTAACTAAATTTCATTTTATTAATCCAAATGAGATAGGATTATTAGACTACAATGTTGAACAAAAAGCATTTTATCACATGTATGTCACTTACAAATGGATTCCAGAGAAACTGAGGACATTAAATACAAGTAATGCTGTTCAAATCATATTTTACAACCTTTATATCAGCTTGGAAGATGTGGAAAAATCTGAGCATTGGGAGCCATGGGACCATAACCATTGTAAAAGGCTTTTAAGCTGCTGAGGCAAAGTACTGTAGCATCTTATTGAGTCACTGGACAATTTGCATACAATGGCTACGAACTGACAACATAAGGTTTTAATGAGAATGCAAAGAATACCAGGATGTTTTTTTCAATTATATTTTTAACAGGCATTAAATGTGGGGTTTTTTATGCTTTGTGCTGTTTCAGGTGTTTTTCTCTGGGTCACAACAGTGTTTTGAAAACTATCAGACAACCAGATTTTATGGCATTAGTGGGATCTCATATAGCACATGCAAGGTCATCCAACAAAACCTGATCTCACTACTCAAGTCTACGGTTCAGATGCTGGAGGAAAATAGCAAAAGTAGTGTATCACCCGAGACATCAGGTAAGCGAGAAGACAATGGTGGTGTCAGTTACCTTATTTTAGTCTGGCTTTGAAAAACACGTAGTTGGAACCTTTCAACTTTGAAAATCTAGAAAGAGATTCTCCCATCTAACAGCTGAAAATCAGACTTGAGTTCCATTTTGTAAGAATTAAACAATTACATTTGGATTAGTAACAAAAATTAAATGAACCGGAGTAGAGAGATGTGCACTTTCAATCTCTTTTCCTCTAAAATAATTCCCTGTAGAATTCCTACATCAACTGCAGACACCTCTTATCTGTCTGCAGCAAAATATTAATTGATGAGTATGCCCTTAGGTTTTTTTCCATCTATTCATTTATGCTTGGGACAGATTCTACGCTGGAAATGACTGTTTGAATAAGCAGCAAGAAGGTTCTATTGAATTAAAATTTATCTGCTGTTGACGTTTATTTGCAGTTGAAAAGGAACAAATGGTATAAACCAGGCTTCCTTTTTCAATAAGCAATATAAACAGACTTTCAGAATTCTCCTATGCAGATCAAGATGATTCTCAAGCAATTATCGCTAAAACACTTTTTTTTTTTTTTTAAATATAAACCTGTTCTGGTGAAATGGACTGATAAATGACTTTTTGGAAGGTCATTTGATTTCCTTCCAGACAGAAATACTGCCACTTTAACTATCAAATACTGTAGAGTTAAGGGGGAAAAAAAGTCCTAAGGAGTGTGTAATAGGGTTTGACTGCACCCAAAATATAATGTTTCAGCAGTAAATACTTTCTCTCATGTTTTTTCTACAGGCTACTCATTGAGGAGCACTTTAAAAGCATCTGCTGCTCATTCAGAGGCATTAAGGACTGAAGCAAGTCAGAAAACAGCTTCAGCTTCCATAGTATCATCTGTTCTGCCCACTTCACATTTAGAAAGGAGCAGCCATGTACAACAAGAGATCCAGACAAGGTAAGAAGTCCTCATTCTTCCTTTTTTAATTGCCTCTACATTTTTAGTTACAAAAATATATTCTTTGCAAGTTTGGAAGGTTTTCTCCCCATAAGGCTTATATTTAGGGTATGTGCATGGCTCAATAGAAGACCCCTGTTACAGTCTACTGCTTGATCTCCAGGCTATGTATGTATGGATGTGACAAGTGCCTCATAGTAGTGACTGTATAAAATGTAGTGATCTATCTTCAGTCCTGTCTTATGCATATCTGGTTGTAGGTTTTTCTTTGAGAAGCATGCTTGTGAACTGGCACATCTGGAACTATCCTTATTGACAGAAGAAATAAATACTATATTTTCCTTTTATGAATCATCCAAGGCTAAGAAAAAGGAATACCATAAAGGAAACTGGGTAAGGTTGGCATTGTGTCAGCTTAGAGTTCTTAGCTGATGCACAGGAGAAGAAAGTTTTCCATTTCCTTTTTGAATTCCTTTCAGTTTTCCCACATCACTTCAGAAAAGGAAATTGAAACAAAAAATGAGTTTATTAAAGAAGAAAGAAATCTTCTGTTCTGACTACTGCAAAGCAAAACAGAACCTAATGTAGTTTTCCTTTCTCAACGTTAAGGCAAAAAAAGCAGTGGCCTTATTTTCAGTAAATATTGGGTACTTAATCCCACAGTAAATCAGGCTGCTTATGTTACTTAAATGAACATAGGCGTGTAGTTTCTGGCTATGTTTTTTAGATCTTGGGCTCAGTATGACTCAATTCTCATTCCTTTGATGCTCCTGATCATGAAGATGTCTCAGTTGGGATGTCTATAGTTTCAGGGGATGAAGACCAGTAAAGGAACAGAAGCAACCAGAACAAAGGATTCACTTCTGAAAGAACTGTCAGAACACCACCACCATGCTGAACAAGCCCTCCGTAAGAAACATTTGGAAGAAATCAAGCATTCAGGCCTCAGCCCAGACTTAACAGTGCCCAAACAGACCCTGCATTTTCTGGAAGAAATTCCACATCAGTTGTCAATCTGTCATCTTGGTTTACAAATCCCAGATTCTAACTTCATTGAAAAGCAAGTGAGTTTAAGGCATTTTCTTTATGTTACTCCTGCTACTGTCACCTCACTGCTTTGCAAGGATGAATGTAATCTTCACTGGGTGATACAAACATATACGTTAGCTTTAGGCATCACATGAGAGGCTGTATTATCAGAACAGCTACAGGCATAACTTAAATGTTCCATGTCTCCCTGTACTGGACTATATATTTTACTGCCTCAGTACAGGCGGAAAAGCACTTTCTTTATCAAAGAAAAACAACTCTAAGTTTTAAACTGTCACTACATAAGAAAAAATAATAAGTGACATTACCAGTATGAAGCTTTTTTATTTAAAAAAAAAAAACCAACAAAACCCCAAACAAACAAACCTGCTTACCGTATTTACTGCCACATAAGCCTAAATGTAGCTTTTCTTTTTTCTTCACAACCTGCCTTTTGGGTTTTGGTGCTTTAATGGTCCTCATTCTATTCTCCGGTATCTTAGAATTTTATTACATAGGATGAACCTACAACTATAACATGCTGTTTTTCCTCTAGCATGTCCTGGGTTTTGCTAGGAGAGTAACACTAAGAGACGACCACTGAGGCTTTGAAAGTAGAAAAGCTCCTTCTTCTAATAACAGTTTTTCCTCAAAATATTTTGAGTTAACATCTCCTTTACACTCCTTCACTTTTTAGAAGGGCCCACTGCCATTTCTTCAACCTGAGTGCTTGCCAATAGTGGGGCCTTTTTAGCTCTTAGTACTCCACATACCCACAGACCTCATGCTACTGTCCAACAGGAAAACATTGATACAGTAAGCTTAAAAGGTGTTCAGGCAATTTACAGAAAGTACTTCTGTTGTGGGTAAATTCCACCTTTGAGATAACCTTGAATATACACGCAGCTTTTAATATGACAGGGTCACTCTACAGTCAGATTATATAAATCTGCTCTATGAGCAGATGTCTGCCTATCCCTTATTAAGCTAGTGCCAAACTTTTAATCCGTTTCCTGGTTTCACCTAGCTTTGCAGGGGGGATAAAGGACTTGGAAAATATAACACTTACAAATTTTATGAAAACAAACAGGCATGTAGAGGAGAAATACAGACTTTACAAACCCTTCTGAGGAAAAACAGCAGTGTGACTCCATGCCTTACTAGGTAGGAAAAGTTTCCCTTGGAGCTTCTATAGCCTTAGAGACAAGACCAGTCCAAACTGACTCACACTTGCCATCACAATTCTATAGAAAATCAGATTTCACTAGTTCTGGTGGGCACAGTGCTATTTGCTCGTGTAGAAAATCCCTACCCTTTATTCTCTTTTGCTTAACAGAAACTACTTTCTTGGGAAGGTGAGCATTCTCCAGGCTCTTTAAATCCAATACTACAAGTTTCAGCAGTGAAGATAGTAAAGCTGGAAGCTCTGAGGCAAGCATGTCTGTACAGAGTCCTGGATCTCTACAGCAATCTTCAGGTAGAGAGGCATTTCATGCTTTTCATGCCTCACCCCTCCCTGCGTGAAACTCATGTTAATTCACAGAATGTGTAAGCACACAGATGTCCATCCTGAGTGAGAACCTACAGAACGTGCAGGGCACGCTGGCTGGGCCATAGGTGCAGGCACATGACAAAGTGCAGTTACAGTAACCTCCTGCACAGGCCAACCCAGCAAAGCCCCACTATCAAAAGCCCTGCCAATTATGCCCACTACAAACTCAATGCTGGTAACAAGTTCATGTCTATAAACAAAATTCATTTGTTCATATCACTATGTTTACCTGCTTCAGATACTGACTTGCCCGGAAGGTGTGACAAGGATCCTGAACAGTTTTGACTACAAAAATAATGGTGGAGAAGTAGTCCAAGAGGTCGCTCAGACTAGAGAGAAAGAACAAGTAGCAAGAGCAGTGGCTTTTCTCCAGAAGCATCATCAGGAAGGGGATTTGCTTAAAGGTTTAGAGGAAGAGTCAGAAGCTGAGCTGAGAAACATGCAGGCACGATTTAGACGGGAACTTCAAACACAGACAGAAGAAAAGGTACATCAGCTAAAGCACTGGTATTGTCATTTGCTAACAGCTACACAGAGGGACAAGACTTTAGTAAAATCTCTGGCCACATTAAGTTCAGCAACATTTTACGTAGTTCACAACTATTTGACTCCTGCTGCCAAGGGAAACTTTTAAAAGTCCTTTTTTAAACTGATGGATTCCATTGTTCAGTGTAGTTCATTTTTCCCCCTCTGGATTCCTATTTTCAAACAATGAGATTTGGAACATTTACATGCTTTTACAAGTCTGATAGTAATCTGTAAGACTTTGTAATGTTTTCTTCCCAGATACAAGCCAAAGAAATGCAAGTGATCCAAGAGACGGAAGGAGAGAAGTTAGGGAATCTTGTGGCATATTTCATCCTATCTCAGAGACACTTGCGGCAAACAGTCATTATGCTACAAGATTGCTACAGGCTGAAGACTCTTGCCTTGAGGTCCCAAAAGGAGGGCACAGGCCTGGAACAGCTTGTTGTAGAAGTAAAATTCTCTTGATAGTTTGGTTTATAATGTGGAACTCCTTCAGTGTGTTGTTACAAAACTTTAAAGTTTACAAACTTCTCAGGAATTGCGTCTGTTTATAGCAATGGTTCAGCTAACTCCAGATTACAGTATATTATACTGTATATTTTTTTATGCTAAAAAGAATTGAAAATATCTTGGGCTTACCTACTAAAGATCAGACACTTCGGATCCATTTCTTAACACATTTAACTTAAGGCTCCTTTGAGAATCTTAAATTTATTTTTTAATAGTTGTGGTTTTGTTACTTGGGTATTTATAAACGACAACAATAAAGGGTACATATGACTGCAAAATACTGTTACCTAGCCACCACTACCTTTGATGGCATTCTCAAAAACTCTGACTCTTAAATCTGTTGTCAATGTATTGTGTAGAAAGTAAGATAATCAAAGAAGGTTCACCCATTTCATGTTACATTTCACATTACCATTTTATCTTTCAGGAGTTATCGACTGATGACGACACCAAGGACATTTCACATCTCCTGAAGGACAATACAGAGTATACATTTTTAGTGCTGGAATTTATACAAACTGTAAGATTATTACAACTGAGAGAGACACAGTTTAAGGAAATAGTCAGAAGCCTAAAAGGCTGCATCCAGGAGAAGGTAAAAGAAAAATATAGTACCTAGGAATTTTATTCAGAAAATGCTAAATAATTTGCATTGCTATTGTTACTGTGCAAAGGACTTCGTTCTCCAAGTATCACTCTGTCCAGAACAATACCAGGATCTTGACTGCTTTTTTTGTTTCTTATATATGATCTATAGTTTGTGGATTCAGCTAACACCATAGCCAATGAACTGAAAAAATTCAGAGAGCAGAAAATGAGAAGGCTGGAGGAACAGCTGAAACTTTTCCTGGAAAATAAACGAACAAAGAAGAGCATTTCAAGTGATTTTGATCCATTTCAGGTTAGGAAACAGCAAGTCCCAAAAGTTTTCTAATTTAACAGGCTTCATCGTATGCACCATATATAAGATTAATGGTATAATGCTAATGAGACCACGACTGCAGATGTATTGTATGGATTATGTCCCGTACTACAAGATTCACAACAAATATATGAAGAAAATGGTTGAATGTAGAGATTAGGAATGCAATACTTTAAGAAGATGGAAAGGGATAGAAGCAGCACAGCTTTCAAAAGTAGATTATCACCCAAGTGAAAGTACAAGGGAACAAAGAAAAAGAGCTTAACAGAGTTTTCTTCTTTGCAGAACAAAAATGCCACCTTGAAAACAGAAGAAACAACAGAAAAAAGAAAAGACCTCTGGCAGACTTTCCAAGAGAAGCATCTGGACCTCAAAGAATCTCACATATGGCAGATATCAGATGAAAGAGCACAGCCGCAGGACCGTCTGCTCTATGGAGAACAGAAGAGCAGAATGAAGCCCACAGGGTTTGGTTCTACAGCATACTCTGAGAAGCATGATAGGGTACTGTGTGACCACCTCCCTTCACACAACCCCCCTCCAGTTTTCGGGGGGAGGTGGGGGTGGTTGTTATTTTCTGATTTTCAGACTTACTGAAAGATTGTGAGGACTGGTACTCCAGAAATGCCATATCTAGTACTGAGTGCTAATCATTATAGCATCTGAGAAATTTAACAGCCAAAAGCACACTAAGCAGCTAGCGTCTGCCCTAGACAAAATACGTACTGTCAGAAAATTTCACTCCGCAAGGTGGCAGTCTGCTGAATGTCTCTCTATTTGCTGCTTAACGTTTTTTCTGGCAATTGAATAATACAAGGGAGCAGAAGTTTCTAAAATGCAGACCTTTAAGTTTATGCAAGGGGAGGAGTAAAGAAAGGTCACATAGAACCAAGTATGAAATTTCCATTATACTTTTCATAGGTACTTACTTTTACATCTCCTTACTTTTCATTGTAGATCTTTATGAAAGAATGCAGTGAAACAAAAGCTTTCTTAGGAAAGGATTTTCATCCACATTTACAGAAGTTGAGAATGACACCAGAAGAAGAAAAAAAAGAAGTGCAGCAAACCAACAGTCCTCTCCCATCCATTACTAAGTCTTTCTGGATTCCAGGGATACATCATAAGGCAGATGACCAGCTCCTATTGTTCTTAACTAAGAGTAAGTCTGGTTTGTCATAGGTAACAGAAGTGACCTGTAATTCTTTTTTGATACTGATGCATATCCTGGGGGCATTAATGCTTTGGAAATTGAACGAACTGGGAAGAGGTGGGGTGGAACTCAGACTATAGTTAGAGTACAAGATGAGTTAGAATAATGCAATTCTGAAGAAAAAAAAAAGTCAGCTGCATTCTCCCAACAGTCTCAGCAGAATACCTAAGCACTCCCAGAAACTGAGCAAACAAGCAAGAAGATTTTAGATTAAAAGTGCATTTTTCAACTCAGAAGATATCGGCTTTACACCCTTTCAAGTAAAGGATATTACCAAAAATTAAATATAAAACTGGATACTTACATAGGTGCTTGCCTTTTCTAGGACATGAATAAAATTAAATGTCTTACCTAGATGATGTTTATGCATCCGCAGAGCTGAGCTTATTTCCTCCTTAGGGTTAGCAGGTCTGTTGGGATTTTCTTGAAATATTATCAGCCACTTGATAAGTATCAGAATTTCCTGTTCTTTGGATTGAAAAAATTTCATAGGGATCAGGTGAACTATCGCATGTGATCAATTGCTTAATGTTTCAGAGTCTTTTCCAGCACCTTCTCTATGAAGTAAACAACTGTTTATTTACTAAAAAACTTGCTGAAGTGGGATAGCACAATCCTGGAACTCAACTAAACACAAAGAAATAAGGCAAAAGAAAATTTGATTCAAAACAGTTCTATCTGAAACAAATGAAAAACAAATCCTTCATGCAGCAAAACGGGAATTAAAGAGAGCACATACCAAGTGCATCCAGCAGTCCAGTTGGCCTTGCTGCTCTCATCACCCAGTAGGCAATTCCCAGAGCTTCCTGAACAGCAAAAATTGCAAGAGTCACACAATTATCAGATTTCTAGAGAATTTCCTTATCTAGTCCCTTGGAGAGATTCAAATACACCTCTACGTTTTTAAACCTCTCCAAAAACTAGACATTTAGTCAAAAAGTGTAACTTTTATTCCTAACATTTATTGATTTTTAAACTGATGTTATTGTCCCAAATACTACATTAAAAAGTCAAGGTTAGCTTATAGAACAATGAGAGGAATGGGCACAAACCTCTCTGGAGTTATTTGGAGTCAATAACTAGTATATACTGTTCTCACAGATATCAAAGTCCTGAAGCAGGCAGAACACCTGATGGCATCCAGAATCATTCTTCTGAACCCTCAGTTCATGACACCTTCTCTGTATGGTAAAAACTTTAATTCACTTTATTGACTACTGCCCCACAAAAAGAGCTACACAAAATGATCTCCCAAGAGGCTTCTTTTCCTGCCAACTATCTCCTTTTTGTCTGCTTAACAACAAAATACATGAGCCACATGTGATATTTGCACAAGTAACTTGCCTACAGCTGTGAATTAGCAATGATGTAGCCCTTATAGTAAATGAAATTCTAGGCGTCGAGCACTTAAACAGGCAAGTGTTGTATTCATTAGCTGGAAAAAAAAAATCCTATCAATTCTGCTGAGATATGGAATTTGACACTCTGATAGAAAGTTACTACTTACAGAGTTAAGGGCAGACAGAAAAATTTTTCTCATCATTAAAATTGCAGTGACAAAGACAACTTTGTTAAAAATTGCGAGGAGTATTCTATAAGCAGACCAAAGAACTTTGGGAATGAGAAGTGTTTGGACTTGGGGGTTTTTATTGAACATACCATTCTTCCTGTTTTAACAGACTTCTGTGTAACGTTTGAGATATATGAAAAAGGAAAAAAACAAAAAAGGAAAAAACTGATGAATTGGATAATGTAAAGGGTTTTGGAGAGAAAGGTATTTTCTCTGCAACATTAACATCTTTGCCCAGATTCAGTGTCATGCTCCAAACAGCAAAACTATTTACCTGTTTCAACGTGCTTGTCTACATAATTCCAATGTGTGAAATAGCTCAAAAAACTGTGGTAGGAGATCAGTGTTTCAGAAAGCAATATTTCCACATTTGTTTACACAGGTCACGATAAAACCAAGTGTATAAAAACCTCTTTTCTTCTTGGTCTTCTGAAAGATGTCAACAATGACCTCCAAAGTCATGCACTGGCGGCTGGACTACTAGAAAGCCAAAGGCTGGACAAAAGTAAATCTCACCTCCATTCTTTCTTATATGAAAGTCAGAACTTAAGTGTAATGTGAATATTTCTGTTTCATCATTCAGGTAGCTGCTGGTTATGTTTATTGTGATAAAGATTTTGCTGGACAAACATCATAAAGTTATTCTCCTCTTTGGAGGAACTGTTCTATCAGCGAAGGAGAAAAACTCAGAACATAGAATCACTAATTTTGCTGATCATCTCTGAGGCACCCATAAGTAATGTCACTTTTCTAGGCCTTAGTTATCGGTAATTTCACTAGTATGTTTCGGGCATTGCCTAAGGGTATCGAGCACTTCATGACTCTTAAAACAATTCATAATGCATCAGAAGGGCTTCATTTTATATTGAACAATGATATTATATTATGATGTGAGAAATACGGTATATTATACATTCATATTGCAGTGTTACCTCTTGGACAAGCAAAACGAAAATAGAAACCAACTGGTCTAATGAAATGCTACTGTTCTTGCAGGAACAGCAAGTACTTCTCAGGGTAGACAGGATGCCTTGATGACTCAAAAAGGAGAACTAACAGTAGTTGATCCTGCAACCCTTTCTACAAGAGAGTTTGTCATTTATCAGTATGGCATCTCCATCCTACAGTTTCTCAGATTTCACATTGATGTAAGTTTTTAAACTGATGTATTTAGTAATTTTAACTGGTATTTACTAATTGGTGCTTCCAAAAGAAGACAATAATAAAAAAAATGCTTCAGCCAACAGGCTGCAAAGTGTCTACCAATTATAAGGTAAGACCAAGTAGAGAATGACCAGTGTGCAAACATCAGGAATTGAATTCCATTTTTGTTTTCTCCACAATGGTGTAAGACTGTTTTGAAGTCAAACCACTGTCCCACAAGACGCATGGTCAGTTCTTGTATTTGTTGTGGCATTTTTCTTGAGCACGTCACTTAATTCTTGCATTACCTAATCTCTGCATACTGTATAATATTGTGGTAAAACATATTTTCTTTATAAGTTCGAGCAAGGGTTCTCTCATTTTCTTTGTACAGTTCTTAGCACACTATGGCTTTGGTCTAGGTAAACTCACCAGGGTATTTCATAACAGTATCGAATAAATAATAATAAAGATCATGGTGACTACAGCCAGAGCTCCAGGGCTGGAGTACACTTCCATTTACTTAATTAGAAAACTGGCAAGATGAACTACTATGATTTGCTAGGGTTTTTTTAAACAGTCTCCATTTTGATGTGGTATTTGTTGGCTCTGTGTACCCACTGCAAATCAAAGATGACATTTAAATGAACTTATATTCCATTAAACCCTCTTACTTAGCAGATCTGATGTGCATACACACTTTTTACAGAAGCACTTTTCCTTTTCTTTGCAGGCTCCAGAAATTAACCTGTGTGTTGCCTCCAGTATACCTCTTAGTAATGCCACAGGCAATGCCTTCAGAAAGTCTTTCTTTTATCAGGTTTGTCAACTTCACATCTAGCCAGCCTATGCAATATTTTCATATCCATTAAGTTCTGGAACTAGGAAGTAAGTAAAATGCAAAAATGTCTCATACTTTTCAAGTCATAGTATGCTTGATGCTTTCTAGGAAAAAGTATTGATATAAGAAATCCTCAAATATTAATAGTATGCTCCAAATATATCTGAACACAAACTTAACAGAGTACTCCAGTATACTGAGTTTAAATACATGTTTAATGTGAGGGTCACACCCAAAGCACATTTATTAAATCAGCTCTGGTTACCCAGTTTCTCGTGTCCAAATTCTACCACTTCTGTTTCTACCAAATTCTCTATAGGTCAACTTTATAGAAATCAGCAGTGTATCAGCATTTTATTTGTTATAAATAAATATATTTATTGTCATTGTTTATTAAATATATTTAGTATTATTTCTTTCTAAAACTCTGGGGTGTTGAGAGAGAAGTTTTCTAAACTTCATATATACAAATATAAAACTATCTAGAAACAGAGAATGCAAGAATGCTTTAGATTCACGTCACAGAATATTAAGTGAAGTCTTATGACAATGCTGCTGTCTTGTGTATATGGATATTCCCTAGCATTCCAATCTGAATCTTTTAACTTCCTTAAAATCGAGACAAACCATTGGAAGAGTTGCATCAGCTGTGCTGACTATCGTTGTACCCTTGTCTCAGCTCTGGATATTCATTCTTTCTCAGAATTCAAAGAAAAAACTATTCGTTCTAAGGAACTGCTTGAGTTCTGTAGGAAGTTTCCTTCTCCTCCTCGTGCACTGCTTAGCTCATATCACTGCTGCTGACTTCAATCACGATGCCAACCCACTCTTTCTGAGGATTTTTTATCAGGTACATCAGTATGTTACAAATAGCAATTTTTGTAAAAGATTACCATTTTAAAATGGGGGGGGAGAGAGGGTGCTGGGGGCAGAGTTAACACCTTTGCATAATTTCCAATAATAAAAATCAAAAGGAGATATGGAATAAGATAGTTAACTATTTCCTGAACTGTCCTTACAGTTACGAAGTGGCTGTTCACAGAAAGATTAATATTCAAAATTCAGAGAACAGTGCTTCACCTTAGGTGAAGGCAGCAAGACAGCAGAAAAATCCACCATATCATGTATTAGCATCCTGCCAGCATACAAACACCTCTAACTGAGAAATACCTCTTTGTTCCACTGACAGCTAAGGAGATAAAACCAGACAACTACATTCTAAACATCAGTTGGCCAGTACATGGGAGAATCAAACAGAGAATGCTCTTTCATAATCGTAGTCCTGACTCAGAGAACACAGTTATACCAGACACAGATCTGTTGAGAAAAAAAAAAATGGAACTGCAGTGTTCTTCCCATAACATCATCTTGATTTGATGCAATCTTTTGCATTCAGCCTTCACTAAAGCGCACTTCTATATTGCAGGGGATACCCATTATCATCTCATTTTCCCCACAGAGATTCCTAATGTTTCCCAAAGATACACAGGGGTTTTAGCTACCCTTTATGAATGATGGTTCTTCCCATGAGTGGTAAGGGCTACCAGCATTGTCTAGAAACCAGCATAGCACAAATATTCCAAACAGAATTCTTCTTGTGCATGGCACCATGTTTTCATCCTGATCCTGTCTTTCACAGCTGCATAGTAACCACTTTATGCAGCATACTTGTGATCTGTATCAAATCCCCATTAGAGCAATTAAGTTATTTTTTTTCAGAATAAATAGGCTTCCAGAAGTAAAAACCTATCATGATAGCCTACTGTTGTTTGATTCCATCTTTTTTCTCCCCTTTATTAATATCTCTATTCAGTGGTTAGCTGTTAAGAATTGTGTTTGCTTCCAGGTTTTCAAACCATTTTTTTTTTTCTAGGCACTAAAGGCTTGTCTTAGTGAAACATTCTCTCTCAGACTCCAGCTGTCAGCAGTTCTCCAGGGTGATAAGTCGTATGGGATAAGTCAGATGTTGCTAAAAGAAGAACCATTCTCCAAGGAGGAAATAAATCTCATCTCTCAACTTTTTGAGGTGAAAGTGAAAAGTCTCACAGACACAGAAGCCTTTGAGAAGGTAATAAGCTAGATCAAGCAACTTGGTCTGGTTGAAAGCCATCTCTATTTGCCATTTTGTAACAAAGTAAGAAATTTAAACTGGCAGATAGATGCCTGTCTCTCCAAATCTTTGCTTAGTAAAGCCAGACTCCAGTGGGATGTCAGTACAAGCCCTACACATCATTTAAACTCTCAAGCTTAAA